ATTAAATGTAGTGATGGATGATGTATGATGATTTTTGTTGGGGCTGTATGATGTGATGGAAGCTGACGAAGTACCACATCAGTGCTGTGGCTTTGGGGCCTGTTGTGCGGTGGGATATGCATATTAATAGAGATTATAATCCAGACCTTCCTGATACAATCGGGAGCACTGGTTGAAAAACGTGGTTTTTCGGTAAATTGCGTGTTCGGTCACGGCATACGGGCCACGTACGTTACAGCGATAACAAGACGCACAGAGTGAGAGGTATTGCAGCGAATATCAGAAGTTTTATGCCAAAATGTGTTAGTTTCTGACATGGGATGTATTGTGATCGAACTTTATTCGTTACTTGTCTTTATACGCTTCATATGTGTTTTCTGATATTTGTATTTTGATTGTTGTTTATGTTTGTGTATTGATTGTGGGTTGCTTTAATTGGGAGAGAAAGACGTTGTCTATGGTTTAGTGTATGAGTTAGGGAAGATATTAAAGATAGTAAGTGGAGTTTTTGGAATTGTTTAGGCTTAGGTGAAGGTGGTAGATAGCGAGGCCGCTGGGAATTCGTATGACAGCGGTAGTCATCGTTTTGGCGAAAGGAGATAATGGTAATGTGTTTGCAACGTGTTTACATGATTAGTCAATGGAGGCGGTAGACTACTAGTTGTTTTAGTCACCTTAGGTCTAGCGGGGTTGACAGAGCGTCGCCGCTCTTGTGCGGGCTAGATTTGATGTTATTAGGGAGCATAGTAAAACGAGATTTCCTAGGTCGGACGCGAGGTGCGCGAGCCACGGTCTGCGTGTCTCTGGGTGCGAGGCCGGGCTATGTGGTTGAGAAAACAAGTATACTCATTCTGCCTGAACACAACTGCTTGGGAGATTTGAGATTTTTCATTTATTCATCGCTGGCAACATGATCTACATTTTAATCGGGTACGGTATCATCCTCATTACAATAGTGCCAGCTGAATTGGTATTGTCGATTAACGCTCGTAACAATGGCAAATGCAAGATGGCCGCCGCGGGATTCTAAATATCCTGATATACCTCGCTGCCAGAATTCGAAGCCTGGGTCCGGTACGGGAGTCTCGCCCAGCTGGCTAGCGGTCAGCTCACAGGCTCCTGTCTCTGAATTCACGTTGACCCGCCGGCAACAATCAGCGACTGCCTGACAATTGTTGGTTAAAGAAGAGAAACTGAGCTCTTCTCTACTCTCAGCACGACGCCGCGGCCACTAACGCCCTCCGCGTCGGACACATCGCACTCGCACAACCACATGCAAAACACACAACAATCACAACACACACCCACACTCGTCGCGCGCTGGCTGCGGTGCGCATGCGCGCGTAGCGGGACACGTGTGCATGGGCACACACACATCACGCCGACACCAGATGGAGCAACACAGCACGCTCGCACACACACAACACACACACTACGCACCGAACGAACCGACACGCAGGCCGCACCGCACGCCACGCACGCTCGCCAGCGCACGCCGATGGCACAGCACCACACACAACACAAGTTCGAAGGCACACATCTCTTGCCCCAGTAGCGATGGTGATCGTGTAATACGGCTGTTCTGGTGAAATTTAAGGTTATCGATTTTGGCGCTTGCCAGAAACAAAAATTAGTCTTTACTTTACGTAAAAATTACGTCTTTGTCTTTACGTTAAAATTAGTCTTAAATGATGAATGATAATAATCAATTAATGATAATAGATAACAATTTAATAATAATAGATTAGCACATACTTGTGTGCTTCGCACGGCATGCAGCCTGTAGTGACTGTGTCATCGTGGCTCCTAGAGTACGTTCTGCCGCAGGGACTGAAGCAGTGAGTTTGGCGTGAAATGCTCTGTTGCTGGCGGGTGTGGGCTATGGAGGGACACAGAGTGAAACAGTGCGCGACTAACGAGCGTGCATAGGGGCAAGTAGCAGCAAGAGTTCAGTAAGAATCGCAGGTCAGCCGCCAACGCTCGCGCCCGACACGCTGTGGCTATCATGCCCTGCGACAGAGGAACCGATTGAAAATTATTCATCTAACGCCTTCGTGCCTTATTGTATGAGTTCTAACATATAGGCTTAATGCACCAGTATCGCGAACAGCAGCTTGAAAGTGGTGAAATTGATCTGCATGAAGAAGCAGAACGAACTGGAGCACGAGCAACTACGGCAACAGTGAATGCGTAGTTAGATACGGACTATTGAATCATTAGGGCAGAGGGCGCGTAAATCACGTACGAGGAGTAGGGGGGATGATCGGCGATTGCGGGGGCGAAAATTAACCTTGAGCTGTCCGCAGGAGGCAGGCCGACGGGTGGGGACTAGGCATGCCAGTGGGCTAGGAGGGGAGGTGACTGGGGCTGCACCCCTGAAAATTCTTAGATATTTAAGCCAATTTTCGCTGCATCTGAGGGCATTACTGTGGGCCATTATTCTCATGCATGTGCTTGATGACACTATCTCAACCTTTAGGACTCAACCGACAGTTAGGATTCAAAATACTTTTCATGCTCTTTTAGAGCAGCAGTACCACAGTCTTAGGGTTACTAATACCTAGTAGGTAAACACACTGTAATTAAAACAAGCGTAGAGAATGCAAATTCTCCACAATTTCCTGTGGTTATTTTGTACCAGAGAGACGATCAGTTCGTTGGCACGTACATTTTTGCTATTCTTTTTTTTCTCTTTAATTTTTGCATTCCTCTAGGGGGGAGATTTTGTACCAGGCCAATCGCCCATGCATTTTTTCAAAGAAGCGGCGAAGAGAGGAGATGCATCAATATGTGGGTCAAACGGTTCTCAAGTTATCGTTGACCATAGCCAAATGTTGACGGACGGACGGACGAACGGACGAACGGACGGACGTACGATGCTCCATGGTGATGTCAAGGCGAGCTAAAAAAATTGAGGATGCATTTAGTGCCGGTAGTACTTACTTTCCATGTAAAAAAAATTGCAACAAAATTTTTACAACTATACACCATAGAAAATTCATGACGTAGTCAATTTAAACTTACAAAAAATCCACTACGAAGTGCGTGGATTTTCCATACACGTCGATTTCCCACGGCCACTTCCATGCGCGTGGAAAATCCACGAGCCTGGCAAAACCACATGCGTGCATGGATTTTTTGTAATTGCGGGACACTATATCCTATCAATAAATTAGCCAAACACAACTCTACTAATTTCCACAAGTTATGGTGCCACTGGTTTGATTCTGTCTGAAGCAGAATCAGATTAGTCTCGATGCCTGCCAGGTGGACATTGTCGGAATTGTATTTGGCTAATATTTAATATTTAACACGGTCAATCCTCTGTTTTTTTTGACAAAGTGCCCTAAACTGAAATGGAATTTTTATGTGAAACTATTTCCAAACAAATTCCAAAGGTTTTTAGTTTAAAATGGTCTGATTTTTGTGGGTATGTGACATTTTAAACAAAAGTTAAGCCTTTCAACTAAGCCATGTTTTTTAACACCCAGTGTTATTACATTTCGTTTGCAATTGGTTCTCCGGTACAAATTTAGATCTCTTCTTCGCCTGGTTCCTCCTGTTCCTGTTCCAAATTCCTCCTCAATTTTGCAATGCGGTCCCTCTCAGTCTTGCCTCCTTGCCTATCCCGAGCTCCGGTGAACCAATCAGAGATCGCTTCTTCTATTCCTTTGTCTGTTACGTTTTTTAAATCACTTGTCTTCCTCACACTTCCTGGATAAAAAATAGATGATTTACACTTAATAAACTGGAATGTTATTCACACTGGAATTTCATAAACTTCTTTTCCTACCCGAATCAAGACTTCAATGTTTTCATGTGGTCATATATATCATATACAGTAAAACTCGCACAGTCGACACTTTTCGGACCAGCATATTTGTGTCGACTTACGAAAATGACGACTTACTCATAATTCGTCATTTTGTTGACTTATACAATGTATGTAATGCACGTATACACTGTAGTAGCTGCCTTGCGATCACTTCAACAAGCATGCATAATGAACAAGCGAACAATGGGAATGAAGCAATCAATGCATACAGTCATTTACACAGAAACAAGTCAAATGATGCGCAAGCTTCTCTGCGTTCACACAGTGTACATCGTGCATCACATAATGCCATTCGTTGACTGTACGTCCTGTATTAGCAATCATGAGTATGCGCGTGCGCGTATGCAGACACGTGTGTGTGAGTGTGCGTATGTATGCGTGTGGTACGGTGTGTGCCTGTGTGTGTGTGTGTGTGTGTGTGTGTGCGCGCGCGCGCACGTGTGCGTGCGTGCGTGCATGATCCATCGCATACGCAGGCCGAAGTTGACAAGTGAACCATCAACATTGTCAATCTCCTCATAAATGCTTTCTTTTAAATCTCCCCATAGAAAATTCAGAGTGGATAAGTATTGTATTTCTAAACTTACTTTTAATAATCTTCATGATACATCCAAAACGCTCGAAGGCATCTTTATCTTTTGTGCCAGTTCGAGTGTAATGCTGACTCAAGTCGTGTGTCAGAATGGTCGACATTATTTGACGACAGACACCTTTCATGTCTTTTCCCCCAAGTAGGCTAAGTCGGTGAGCCTGAAAGAATTGTTGTTTGACGAGTTGGAAGACGAATAGAGCATTCTCACTGCTGAATCGGGATGATAGGTGGCTACATGTAATGAACCAGGATTGTATTCATAGAATCCAAGGCCACCATGACATTACTTTTACATTTAGATGATAATCTGACTGCAGCCACATTTTGAGGAAAATCATGGCAAATGACGGCTATTTTAAATCTGTAAAATTAACAAGGCAAAAACGTCCTTTTCCATTCTTACGGAGTTTCTATCCCCACTCCTCCTATCTTTCCTCCCCTCCGTCAATCATTTACTGCCTCATTGACTCCTTCCAACCTTCACCCGTTACCTCTATATGAGATGAACACCTATGCTTATGTTAGTTTTTGATGAGGAACTATAGTTATCAATGAAAGTACACTTACTGCCTTTTTCTTGAGTACATGACTCAGTTCCAACTTTTGGTTAAGCTGCAGCAAGTCACTTTTTGTTGTGCAACGTAACTCCAATTCTTCCTCTTCCTCATCATCGGGGAGAACGCTAGCACCAGCAAGCTGCCGCTCCTCAACTCGGTTTAGTTGTGCCCCCATAGAATCGAATCTTTCATTTAGTCTTGCCAACATGTCGAAGATCTTTTCTGGAAATCAAACAAAATAATTAAAGCAAAATTAACCAATCATCAATCATTCAATAGCAGCGTTCACATCGAGTCTGGCCCGAGGCCGAATTCGCATCACCTACAGGTTAGCGGTTTTGATTTTGCCCGACAAATCTAGACAGAGATATATATGGCCTTCAATCGACAATTGTGTGCTCTTATTGGCTTGTAGCACAAATTTTGCTTATTGTTGTGCACTGTATTCTGGGATAGCTTGCTAACTTACTGCACAAAATATAGGTTTGCATTTTGTTACCTACATTTTGAGGTTCCTATAATTATAGACCTAAAAAACATAAGTTCGAATTTTTTAATCTCGCTCGCTGAGTGATATAGAATAGACTATCTGTTTTTAAAATTTATAGTTGATAAAAACCTAGTCTTTTTGATAAAAACCCACACGCATGGTAGGTTTGGTTTAAAATACTCACCCAAAACAACTGCATTAGAGGCATGACTCCTATTTACAGTGTCAGGTATGTCCGGAGTATTGACCCTACTGCTACAAGGAGTGGCAACTGACGAGGGTTCGAAAATAGGCGAACGGCTCCGAAAGGATTCTGTTGTTTTGCGGACACGGTCTGTGGAATGGGTTTGTGATGCTGAAAATAGTAAATGCAAAAAATGGATTATATCCTTTTCCAGCATTTGGTCATCACACACGCAAGTGATACACTCCTATTATTTTATGCCTCAGCTTTATCTACGATTGATGTCAGACAGGATTTCTGAACATCATAATAAAAATAAGTCATGATGCCGCACAACTTCAGCACGACGTAGTGATATTTATTGTTTTCACCGCATTGTAGGTCTAATCGACAACAGCGCCCTCGTTTGCTTTAGTTTTTACGCCAGTTCCTCATTTGCAAATAGCGTTTAGTGATCATTTTGTGCTCAACCTTTTCCAGTTTGATATAATTCAATTTTCTACTATCACTGCAACTTACCAGGAGACATGATATTCTTTGCTCTTACAAACGCATCCGGCCCTGGTGACGGAGGTGGTAGTGGCAGACATTTTTGCTTGACTACTGTATGTTCCCTGACTCGATGGAAAGTCTTCTTTTTCTTGTGACGTCTGCCTTCATCATCACCCCACTCATCAGATTCGTCGTCCTCATCGTGAGTGAAACGATTAGGTGAACTACAGAAGGTGAAATAAAAACATTGAGCTGTGAATGACAAAGCAGAACTAAAGCAAAGCAGGTGAGTTGTGAATTCACATAGGGAATTAATGTCAAGTCAGTTCTGAGAGAGCCAAACAAAATTGCCGTAAAAAAGTTCAATCTGTTTCTTCACGTGGGTAATTCAGGTTCAAAACGTTAATATTGTGTCCACTTTAACCTTTATTGCTTGAACTACTGAATCATGCTAATGATTGATTCGTTAGCTGAGCTAAAAATAATCACCTAAGTCTCGACCAATCAGCGCGCGGGATTTCCTATAATCACTTGGTTAATGATACTAAACCCTGGTATTCACTTTTCAAAGAATTTATACCACTTCCAGGGTTCGACACTAACGCTAGTCCGTTAGTCCAAGACTAGTATAAAATAGCAGTTAGGCCGGCGGGACTAGTTATATTTTCCATGTCCCTCACGGTCCCAATTTCCCATGATTTTACTGGCGGCAGCGTCTCTCATCCAAGATCCATAGAGCTATATATAACTCGTCCACATTAACAAGTTTTCCCTGTTGGTTTTACCTGCTAGTCCAAGCAGAGTAGAGGCTAGCACGCTCTAAGCATGCTGCTAGACCCTATGGCAGTATAGCACATACTTGTTGCATTCGCGGCAGCAGCCTAGTAGTGACTTGTCCATCGTGCTCCTGAGTACGTTCTGCCGCAGAGCTGAATCAGTGAGTTTGCGGTAGAAATGCTCTTGCTGGGTGTGGGCTTGAGGCATAGGTGAAACAGTCGCGCTAACGAGCAGTGCATGGCAAAGTAGCAGCAGGAGTTCAGTACAGATCGCACTCAGCCGCACGCTCGCGCCCGCACGCTTGCTATCCATGCCTGCGACAGAACCGATTGAAATTATTCATCTAAACGCCTTCGTGTTATGTATAGTTTACATATATGTTATGCACCAGTATCGCGAAACACGGTGAGTGGTGAAATTGCTCTGCCTAAAAAGCAGAGGACTGACAAGGAAACTAGGCAACAGTGAATGCGTGTTAGATACGGACTATTGAATCATTAGGGCAGGGGCGTAAATCCGTACCGAGGAGTGGGGGGATGATCGGCGATGCCGGGGGCGAAATTAACCTTGGCTGCCGCAGGCAGGCCCGCGTGCCGTAGGCATGCCAGTGCTAGGGGGGTCTGGGGCATGCCCCCCTGAAAATTTTGAAATATTTAAGCCATTTTCCTGCAATCTGAGGCATACTGTGGGCCATATTCTCATGCATGTCTGATGACACTATCTCAACCCTAGACTCAACCCGACAAGTTAGGATTCAAAATACTTTTCATGACTTTTTAGAGAGCGTACACAGTTAGGTTACTATATAGTAATAACACATGTATTAAAACACAGGTAAGAATTGCAATTTCTCACAATTTCCTGTGTTTTTGTATGTTTGCAACCATACTTTTTGGCTATTCTTTTTTTTTCTCTTTAATTTTTGATTCTTAGGGGGGATATTTGTACAGGCCATCCCCCTCTTTTTCAAGAGCGGGGGGATGCATCCCCCATTTCCCCCGGGATTTACGCCCCTGCATTAGGGGGAGCATTAGGAGACATATGTCCGTTACGAAACGACGGAGAGTTTGTGGCAATTTATCGCAAACATAAGAATAAAACTTTGTTTTTAGCTGTACGCCATTTTTGTTTATTGTGTCGCCATCTATCGGCAACAGACAAAGTTAAACACAATTCTCTCGCATTCGCGACAAGCTGCGTCTTAATGTACACGTGCAATCAACCCACCTAGCTGCGTCTTAATGTACACGTGC